ACCGGGGAAAATATCTCCTTGAATGCCGTATCCAGGCCTGACATGATGCCTGGTCAATATCTCCACATGCCTCCTCCATTGCCTGTAAAAGGGCTACCTGTTGATGAGGAGGACGGTCGTACACTTTCCAGCGCCAGGCAGAGAAGAACTCCTCGATGGGATTTAAGAATGGAGAGTATGGAGGGAGGTTGAGTGCCATGAAGAATGGGTGGTCTGTAAACCAGTTGCGGACCAAAGCAGCCCTATGGAAACTAACATTGTCCCATATGATGACATATCGGGTATGCTCTGGTCTCTGAACAGTGAGCATGTCATGTAAGGTGTCCAGGAATGCAATAATGTGTGCAGTGTTGTATGGGCCTAAGGTTGCATGATGGTGAACAACACCATTTTGGCTTATAGCTGCACACATGGTTATGTTACCACCACGTTGTCCTGGGACCTTGATGATGGCACGGTGTCCAATAATGTTCCTGCCACGTCTCCTGGTTTTACTGAGGTTAAAACCGGCCTCATCTACAAAAAGTAGCTCATGTCCCATGGCATCTGCTTCTAGTTCCATCACTCTCTGGACAAGACAAAACAAATGCAACACATCAGGCCCATGCACAGCACTACAGTATGCACTTCCAAATTCAGAACCAATGACACTATAGTCATATCGCAGTTGCTTTACACGTTCTGTGTTTCTCTCGAAAGGAACTCTGTAAATTTGCTTCATTCTTATTCTGTGGCGCGCAAGTACACGACTTAGTGCAGAAATACTTACACTGTGTATATTTTGAAAGATGGTGTCATTATCAATTATGCGCTGCTGTATTTCGCGCAGTCTTATTGCATTATTGGCAATCACCATGTTCACTATATGGGTCTCTTGCTCTGGAGTGAACATTCTTCCTCTGTCCCCAACATCTGGACGTCTAGCAATTCTGTAAAGTAACAATTTCAGTATTTTTGCATGTATGGTACTGTTGTGTTTCTCATTAGAGTATGGCAGTGCTACAAAGTAGTTACCGATTCTCATTTCGAAATGTCCTAATGATGCTTGCCACAGTGTAGCGGCTCAAATTAGGCTGAACCCGTTGGCCAGCTTCCCTCAGGGTCATCCCATGGTTGATGACATGGTCCACTATTGTAGCTCTGATGTCATCAGTTATTCTATTTCTTACTCTTCTTACCCTTCCTCTTTCCCCTCCTCGTCCTCGTCTTGCTCCTCCTTGTCCTCTTCCTCTAACTTCCTCTAACCCTCTCGCTTCTTCAACTCCACGTCCTCTTCCTCCAACTTCTTCAACTCCACGTCCTCTCCCTCGGCCTCCTCGGCCTCCTCTGATTCTCACTTTTCTCCCTCTTACTGCTCCTTCCATTGTACTCCACACAGACAGCTTACCTGTGGCTTATTTATAGTGCTTAGGCTGATTGCAAAGTGAACTAATTATCTACAACAGTTTTCACATGTGCAAGTGTGCCAGACAGTTGGCAAAATAGTGTTAATGATAGCCATACATGTGTATAATTTTGCTAGGAGTGTGTTGGAAATTTGGTAATTGAGTGTAAGCAGTGAGTTGTGTTTAAAGCTCTGCAAAAAGAGTGTTGTGCAGTGAATTGTGCCTACAGTTTTGCAAAGTGTGTGTTACAAAATTGTAAACTGAGTGCAAAGCAGTGTTTGTGCTTTTAGTTTCGCAAACTCAGTGAGTGGTTTTGCTATACGTATTAATAGTTTTAGAAATTGTGCTACAAGAATCACGATTAGCGCTTAAGCATTCAGAAAAAACTGTAAATGTTGAATAAAGACCAATAGAAAACCATATAATGTCAGCCGCCGATGACCTGCACGCAATTCTGTATCTATTCCCAAATAACACCAAAAGCTAAAGTACTCCCAATTTCATGAAATGCACCAACAAATGAAGTCCAATCCAGCCCATGACATTTAAGATAGCCTGGTACCAAATCTATTTGTGCCGTCTTGCCAACTCCTATGGTTGTTTGGTGTGACAATGACCATAGGAGTTGGCAAAACAGCAAACACAGATCTGGGACCAGCTAAGGTGCTCCTCTCTTCATATTGCAAGGAGCAACAGCAAGAAACTTTATACAATGATTTTAGAAAGTCTCTCTCTCTCTCTCTCTCTATTCTGCTCTTTAGACAGAACTTTTCTGTTGAGGTGGAATTGGATGACGTTAAGGGTTCCCGCATGCTAAAATGATGGTTGGACAATTTAACCTGTTGCGGTAATGCGGTAAAAGCTTCATTTTTTTTGCACCAACAGAGCAAAAGCATAAGCAACGGATGAGGATTTTGGAAATACCCTAAAAACGTTTTATTCAAAGTAAAAATACGATGCAGCAGAAATGGACTGAGTGTTGTTCTTCTAAAAAGAAACGGCATGTGATTGATATGCTCTGGGCCATAGTGTCATATGGACTTCCTATTTAAATAACAGTAAATTGGGAATTAAAAAAATGTTCTGCCCTGACCTCTGTCTAGCTCATATTCAACCCATAACAGTGGAAGGATGCTCTGCATAGCATATATTAAGTTCTAATCAAGGTCTGTATCCCTATGCCTGGCCTGGGGTGACAAGACCGCCTGTAGCACTGATGCCAGGTAAGAGTGCCATCTGAGGTTTCTGTTAATTGCAACAGTTCAGAGGTTTCTCTTTCATCTTAATGAGACCAGAGGTCCAAGGGTCAATTCAGTTTCTCTTTCATCTTAATGAGACCAGAGATCAGAGGGTCAATTCAGTTTCTCTTTCATCTTAATGAGACCAGGGGTGTAATTATTAGTCGAATTTTGTTGAAAAACGTTTGGTCTATTGCAAAACAGTTTGCAACAGAAACCGTTTACCGTTTACTCGAGGAACCAAACAGAGCAAACGGAACGAAACGGGAGGGACCTACCTGAATTTGTCCAATAGAAACTCTTGTTTTCGTTGCAAAACATTTTCCGTGTGGAGTAAACGGGTTCAGTTGCAAAAACATTTAGCAACAAAGGAAATGTTTTGCAACAGAATCCGACTAATGAATACACCCCAGCTGAGCCTTGACCAATTCATTGAGTCATCAAACCGCTGCACATGCACGCACGCACTTACGCACACACTGGAACGATGCGTAGCATAATTAATATATAGCCTAAACTTAGTGATTTTCATTATTTATAGTGGAGTAAACTTATGAATGACGCACATGGATTATATAAAGGACTCTGCGTAACCCTCAAGGTTCAGTTCTGCACCATACCAACATTGGGGAAAGTCGCCTATAGGGACGGATGAAACGGTCTAATTAAATGCCTCATATCCAAGAGTTTCATACTACTTCTATAAACTAAAACCATCTATCCTGTGGTCCTCTGTAGCTCAGCTGGTAGAGCACGGCGCTTGTAACGCCAAGGTAGTGGGTTCGATCCCCGGGACCACCAGTACATCCAAAAAAAAATATGTATGCACGCATGGCTGTAAGTCTCTTTGGATAAAAGCGTCTGCTAAATGGCATATTATTTTATACTGTATGGCATGGACCATGAATGGGTATATGAGTGAAACATGGAAGGATACTGGCTCAGCATTGAGTGACATAACAAATTACACAAGCCTAGGTCAGCAGTAACCTTCACTTGACCATTCTTCTAATTAACTAATTTCATTCAGAAAGAAAATGTTTTCACAAGCAATGACAATGAGTGAGGAACTAGACTCAGACAGGAAATTAACTTTAATCTCAGCAATAACACAAACACTAATTTAGGTTGGATTATTTATTTACATGACGTCCCAGAGACAAGGCTGTGGTGCCTCTATACCTCTATGACCTCACTGGGAATCTCACTCCATAGGCTGTGACCTCGTAGCCAGAGGATACCTCTCGCTCATTGGATATGAGACAGACAGATCCTCTCTCTCATTGGACATGACACATGAGATCTCAGAACATGGTCCTTCACTATACTAATACATCAGGGTTCTTCAATTCCGGTCCTGGAGGGGGCCGAAACACCTCTGTTTTTCATCCTCTCCTTCTAATCAGGGGCTAATTCAGACCTGGGACACCAGGTGAGTGCAATTAACTACCAGGTAGAAATAAAAAAAACAGAAGTGTTTCGGCCCTCCGGGACCGGAATTGAAGAACCCTGCTGTACATCCTATGCTTTGCTCTCATTTTATGCTCTGAAAGGCTAGATTGTGCTCCACTTATTATTGATCAATGGCGCCATCTGGGTGGTTGACCACTGATTAAACGTGTCAATCTGACGAGAAGTTCAGGATGATAAATGCGTAGAATTGAGGAAAATCTCATTTAAGTTTGGGGTCGCATGGGTCGCGAGGTGGGGGTTTGTTATTACGCCGATAAATGACAATATCCACCCGGACCTTTACCACCTAGGAATTGTGTGTCTGGACCTTCTCAAATAGTACTTGAGTACCCCTGGTCTTGATAGTTACCGAATTAGCTGTGGTTCATCCAGATTAAGTTTCTCCTTGAGTTGTAGTTGTTGTTGGGCCATGGTTCAGTTTGTTGCGTTAGAGTAGCCTACACTCAACCCCAATGTCATCAAGTGCAGTGAAATCAGATCCATGATGTTTTCAATCCCAACAATGGTAGTGAACCGCAGTCACACATAATGAATATACACCTTTCTGTTTGCCATCAATAATGATGCCTTGGAGAGGTTTACACGTTTTTTTGCACACATACATTTCTTAATCTTTATGAAAAGCATGACATCTCCTGTGTTAGGCTCCGCGTAGTGGCCAGAGTCAAGCATTGCATTTTTGTTGGTGCGTGGGAATTTTACAAAAACATTATTCTTCCTCACAAATATTTGTGCATTAATGCGTAGACAAATAAAATGGTAAATAAATAGTTGTAGGTTTTTTTGTTGTGTTTTGGGAAAGTTCGAAACACTCAAATACCTGTATAATCACATGACTTACGTTAGAGCTGGTCATGTGACTGTAACTTCTGCAAGCCAAAGCCGTTTGTTGTTAGCTGTGAAAATGGAGCGGTTTAGAAGGCTTGTCAACTATTTTGTGTTCCTGTCTGCAGTATGGGATGTCGCTCATGTTCAGGACAGTGGAATGCTCTTCCCTCGAGAGTCGTCTTCCCGAGAGATGAAAGATCTGAACGGGCTGTGGACCTTCAGAGCCGATCTCTCGCACAACAGGAACCTGGGCTTTGAACAGGCATGGTACAGAAGTCGCCTTGCAGAGGTAAACATGAACATCCATTGTGTAATAAACCATTTAAACTATGTAACATGGATATTGTGTTATTAAATCGTCGCAAAAAAGCATGTGGACTACGAGTCCTGTTTGTTCAGAATAGTTATCTGCCACGCCTTTAATGCGTGGTCTATTTGGGGAACATTGATTGAATAATCATTTTGTTTGCAGACTAGCCCATCTCTAGTCTGCAAAAAAACAGCTAAACTGTAGTCTATGTTGAAACTTCACACCAACTAAAACTGTTTGTTTCGCTAAGTCTTTGCACGTATTTGAGCTAATACTTTGTGTAAACTGTCTTGATGATAATTCAAGTCATAATGATTGTAAAGTAAACATTTGCTGTTATTCATTCCTCCCGCCCCCTTCTTTTTTCTTCTCTCTCTCACTCTATTTGTATCTGTTTGTCTAGACTGGTCCAGTGATTGACATGCCAGTGCCTGCCAGCTACAACGACATCACCCAGGATCCACGGCTGAGGGATTTCATTGGCTGGGTGTGGTATGAGAGAGAGGTGTTGGTACCCTCACGATGGCTGTCTGGTGAGGGAACCAGAGTCGTGCTGAGGGTCGGGAGTGCACACTACTACTCAGTGGCCGTGAGTATTTCACAAATCTTCTACCACTTGTTTTCAGCTCAAGATTCTGCGGTCCTCTGTAGCTCAATTGGTAGAGCACGGCGCTTGTAACGCCAGGGTAGTGGGTTCGATCCCCGGGACCACCCATACGCAAAAATGTATGCGCACATGACTGACTGTAAGTCGCTTTGGATAAAAGCGTCTGCTAAATGGCATATTATTATTATAAGTTGCCATTCTGTATCCCTTGTGTGATAGCTGTAACTCCACAACCTCCTCTTGTTTGAGTTTATCTGCAGTGTACATCCCTCATTGTAAAAGGTACAATGTTGTGTATGTGGGGAGAGTGGGGAGAACAAGTATTTGATACACTGCCGATTTTGCAGGTTTTCCTACTTACAAAGCATGTAGAGGTCTGTAGTTTTTATCATAGGTACACTTCAACTGTGAGAGACGGAATCTAATACAAAAATCCAGAAAATCACATTGTATGATTTTTAAGTAATTAATTTGCATTTTATTGCATGACATAAGTATTTGATCACCTACCAACCAGTAAGAATTCCGGCTCTCACAGACCTGTTAGTTTTTCTTTAAGAAGCCCTCCTGTTCTCCACTCATTACCTGTATTAACTGCACCTGTTTGAACTCATTACCTGTATAAAAGACACCTGTCCACACACTCAATCAAACAGACTCCAACCTCTCCACAATGGCCAAGACCAGAGAGCTGTGTAAGGACATCAGGGATACAATTGTAGACCTGCACAAGGCTGGGAGGGGCTACAGGACAATAGGCAAGCAGCTTGGTGAGAAGGCAACAACTGTTGGCGCAATTATTAGAAAATGGAAGAAGTTCAAGATGACGGTCAATCACCCTCGGTCTGGGGCTCCATGCAAGATCTCACCTCGTGGGGCATCAATGATCATGAGGAAGGTGAGGGATCAGCCCAGAACTACACGGCAGGACCTGGTCAATGACCTGAAGAGAGCTGGGACCACAGTCTCAAAAACAAACATTAGTAACACACTACGCCGTCATGGATTAAAATCCTGCAGCGCACGCAAGGTCCCCCTGCTCAAGCCAGCGCATGTCCAGGCCCATCTGAAGTTTGCCAATGACCATCTGGATGATCCAGAGGAGGAATGGGAGAAGGTCATGTGGTCTGATGAGACAAAGATAGAGCTTTTTGGTCTAAACTCCACTCGCCGTGTTTGGAGGAAGAAGAAGGATGAGTACAACCCCAAGAACACCATCCCAACCGTGAAGCATGGAGATGGAAACATCATTCTTTGGGGATGCTTTTCTGTAAAGGGGACAAGACGACTGCACCGTATTGAGGGGAGGATGAATGGGGCCATGTATCGCGAGATCTTGGCCAATAACCTCCTTCCCTCAGTAAGAGCATTGAAGATGGGTCATGGCTGGGTCTTCCAGCATGACAACGACCTGAAACACACAGCCAGGGCAACTAAGGAGTGGCTCCGTAAGAAGCATCTCAAGGTCCTGGAGTGGCCTAGCCAGTCTCCAGACCTGAACCCAATAGAAAATCTTTGGAGGGGGTTGAAAGTCCGTATTGCCCAGCGACAGCCCCGAAACCTGAAGGATCTAGAGAAGGTCTGTATGGAGGAGTGGGCCAAAATCCCTGCTGCAGTGTGTGCAAACCTGGTCAAGACCTACAGGAAACGTATGATCACTGTAATTGCAAACAAAGGTTTCTGTACCAAATATTAAGTTTTGCTATTCTGATGTATCAAATACTTATGTCATGCAATAAAATGCAAATTAATTACTTAAAAATCATACAATGTGATTTTCTGGATTTTTGTTTTAGATTCCGTCTCTCACAGTTGAAGTGTACATATGATAAAAATTACAGACCTCTACATGCTTTGTAAGTAGGAAAACCTGCAAAATCGGCAGTGTATCAAATACTTGTTCTCCCCACTGTATATAGACTGTCACTCTGGCTACATAGGAATAACAGTCTATATTTCTCACACTTTTTTCGCTGCCAGTGGGTGAATGCGATCAAAATAACAGAGCACGAGGGCGGCCATCTTCCCTTCGAGGCTGAGATAGGTGACGTCCTCCGAAAGGACCCAGGTGTGGCCTGCAGGATCACCATAGCTGTCAACAACACCCTGACTCTCCAGACCCTGCCCCCAGGGACCATCCAACATATTGACGACCCCACCAGGTGAAGTGACTGACAGATTTTACTTCCTTTCAATGGGAAAATATATTCAAATGTTTTTAGCAAATTGGGTGTAATCTCACATTCTCAGACATTTAATTTTAGATGTTCTGGAGACCAAACCTAGAAAGGCTGAGGTTGAGGCTAAGTACGCAACAATGCATTCTCTGATGTTTGAGGGGGAAGAAATCTTGTTTTGGAAACCAAATCCAAATGTAAATCTGTGTTGTGTCCATATATTGTCTACAGGTATCCTGCTGACTATGTTGTGCAAAACACCAACTTTGACTTCTTCAACTATGCTGGTTTGCACCGTCCTGTGGTGTTGTATACCACTCCTAAGGCATATGTGGATGACATCACAGTGCTGACAACCTTTGCTGACAACATTGGTGAGTGCAAAAAAAGCCAACAACACATTTTCTCATTCACTTGTTCAAATGATTGTTTAAGCCTATTCATTCCCCAGTTCATCCATTCCCCTGTTTACACTATCGCGCCGACCAAAACCATACCGTGCTGACTTGGCTATTTCCTTTTCACATTGTCCTTTTCTGCATGATTCCAGTAACTATGGAATGTTGTGAAAAACGGCACTAGTGTACTAAGGTGTTGTTGGTCTCTCCTGTTCTGCCCTTTGGTCTAGGGATGGTCAGTTACCAGGTGTCAGTGCTGGGCAGTTCCAACGCCACGCTGAAGGTGACACTCTCAGACAAAGATGGCCGCTCGGTTGCCTCCTCCACTGGACCCTCCGGGGTCCTCAAGGTGACGGACGTCAGCCTGTGGTGGCCGTATCTAATGCATGAGAACCCAGGTTATCTGTATTCTATGGAGGTAAGTTGGGTTATGTTCGTAGTTGCATTTCACAAGGCTTCGGTGATCCAGTGTCTGTTCCTTTTTAGTGTTTGTTTTATTTTAATGTAACTTTTTATCAAACGTATGTGAACTACCATGTCATTTTAATTATACTGAACAAAAATATAAACGCAACATGTAAAGTGTTGGTCCCATGTTTCATGAGCTGAAATAAAAGATACCCGAAATTTTCCAAACGCACAAAAAGCTTATTTCTCTCAAATGTTGTGCATTTCTTTACATCCCTGTTAGTGAACATTTCTCCTTTGCCAAGATCATCCATCCACCTGACAGGTGTGGCATATCAAGAAGCTGATTAAACAGCATGATCATTACACAGGTGTACCTTGTGCTGGGGACAATAAAAGGTCACTCTAAAATGTGTAGTTTTGTCACACAACACAATGCCACAGATGTCTCAAGTTTTGAGGGAGTGTGCAATTGTCATGCGGACTGCAGGAATGTCCCCCTGAGCTGTTGCCAGAGAATTGAATGTTCATTTCTCTACCATAAGCCGCCACCAACGTTGTTTTAGAGAATTTGGTAGTATGTCCAACCGGCTTCACAACCGCAGACCACGTGTAACCACGCCAGCCCAGGACCTCCACATCCAGCTTCTTCACCTGCGGGATCATCTGAGACCAGCCACCCGGACAGCTGATGAAACTGTGGAGTATTTCTGTCTGTAATAAATCCCTTTTGTGGGGAAAAACGTATTCTGAATTGCTGGGCCTGGCTCCCAAGTGGGTGGGCCTATGCCCTCTCAAGCCCACCCATGGCTACGCCCCTGCCCAGTCATGTGAAATCCATAGATTAGGGCCTAATGAATTTATTTCAATTGACTGATTTTCCTCATACGAACTGTAACTCAGTAAAATTGTTGCATGTTGCGTTTGTATTTTTGTTCAGTGTATATTATTTAGAGAAATAAAAGCACTTGCTAACCGTTTTCTAAATATTCAGTGGTTTGTTCTCATGTATTACCCTTTTCCGTGTGACGAGTCACCGCCACCATGAACATCGCCTTAGTTTGACAACTCAGCATCACACCGTCGATACTTCCTGTGTTGTTAATGGGAGGGCGCTGACTGGAACTATTCTCCTGGCTAGGGCTTGCTCATGAGGGTGCAACATTACAGAATGTTCAGATAGAAATATATGGCCTAGAAAATATGATTCTGTCGTGCAGATTTGGTACTGTCAGCTCCCGAGTGGCGCAGCGGTCTGAGGCACTGCGTCTCAGTGCTTGAGGCGTCACTACAGACCCCCTGGTTCGATTCCAGGCTGTATCACAACCGGCCGTGATTGGGAGTCCCATAGGGGCGGCGCGCAATTGGCCCAGCGTCGTCCGGGTTTGGCCGGTGTAGGCCGTCATTTGTAAATAAGAATTTGTTCTTAACTGACTTGCTTTAGGTTAAAATAAAACTCTTTACATTTCTATCTGCAACATTCTGAACATTCCACCTCACTGAACATGCTCCTCATCTAATTTGTTTCCAGGTTCACATGACGACAGGTAGCGAGGGTTCTGTCTGTGAGGATGTGTATGCTCTGGCTGTGGGCATCCGCACTGTGCAGGTCACCAACACACAGTTCCTCATCAACAACAAACCCTTCTATTTCCATGGAGTCAACAAACATGAGGATGCTGATGTAAGTACTGAGTAGTACCACTAGAGGGCAGCAAAACACTGTTTTGTCTTGGGTGGACAACTGATGTCCAGCAGGTTGTGTTACATATTTGCCAAGATATAGAAGTAATGAATGTTGAAGCTGATTAGAAGTTTTTATCAATTTCTCTGTGTTTTTAACAGAAACTATTTTCAGTAGTTCTCAGTCATGCATTTTGGAATGATCTTTTAAAGGGTCAATGGAAATAGGTCTCAACAGTTGCCCCTGCTTTCTGTGTCTGTGTGTCAGATCCGAGGGAAGGGCCTGGACTGGCCCCTGATAGTGAAGGATTTTAACCTGTTGAAGTGGCTAGGGGCCAACTCGTTCAGGACCAGCCACTACCCATACGCTGAGGAGATCCTGCAGATGGCAGACCGCCATGGCATCGTGGTCATCGACGAGTGTCCCGGGGTGGGCATCAAAGACATGTAAGTCATTGCCATGGTGACAGTTTCTGTGATCTCTCTGAAGGGTCAGTTAAAGGTTACACGGTCCCCAGGGGTGTATTCATTCAGTCGATTCTTTTGCAAAACGTTTCTTCAACGGAACCAAATGGAACCAAACAGGGAGGGCCCTACCTGAATTTGTCCAATAGAAACTCGTTTTGCTCTGTTTGCTTCCATTTGGTTCTTAAACAGTAAACGGTTTCCGTAATGAATACACTGCTAGTGCAACGTTTGAAGAGATAACTTCAGGTGTTTTCCACACAACGAGTGTGCCAGACATTTTTTAAAGACACACTTTTATTTTAAACCTCTTTACCATTTTACCATTTTAATGGACAGTTATTATTAAGTGTATACACCACATAAAACTTAGCAATATTAATCGATGCTCTGCCCATTACATCATGGATAGAATCTAGCATCAGCATTAAGTCAGGTCTTCTGTGTCTCTGGGACAGCCACTAACCCTGTGCCCTCTCTTGTCCGCCAGCCGTAGTTTTGGGAACGCCTCCCTGTCTCATCACCTGGTGGTCATGGACGAACTGGTGAGAAGGGACAAGAACCACGCCTCCGTGGTCATGTGGTCTGTAGCCAATGAGCCAGCCGCTGAGATGCCCCCTGCTGGATTATATTTAAAGTAAGAGAACGTTAGCGTTCAATCACTTTCCGTGAATGTGCGTCCTTGTTTCTTAAAATGCACATTCACATAATGGTGGAGGGACGTTGTAGTGAACAAATTGTCAGTTAAAAACAAACGTCTTCTTCTCGGTTCTCACATTAACGAGCTAATGATGACGTCATAAAGGAAGGGAAACTGAGCATTAATGGTGACGTCATAAAGGAAGGGAAACTGAGAATTAAAGGTGACGTCATAAAGGAAGGGAAACTGAGCATTAATGGTGACGTCATAAAGGAAGGGAAACTGAGCATTAAAGGTGACATCATAAAGGAAGGGAAACTGAGAATTAATGGTGACGTCATAAAGGAAGGGAAACTGAGAATTAAAGGTGACATCATAAAGGAAGGGAAACAGAATTAAAGGTGACATCATAAAGGAAGGGAAACTGAGAATTAAAGGTGATGTCATAAAGGAAGGGAAACTGAGAATTAATGGTGACGTCATAAAGGAAGGGAAACTGAGAATTAATGGTGACATCATAAAGGAAGGGAAACTGAGCATTAATGGTGACGTCATAAAGGAAGGGAAACAGAGCATTAATGGTGACGTCATAAAGGAAGGGAAACAGAGCATTAATGGTGATGTCATAAAGGAAGGGAAACTGAGAATTAAAGGTGATGTCATAAAGGAAGGGAAACAGAGAATTAATGGTGATGTCATAAAGGAAGGGAAACAGAGCATTAATGGTGATGTCATAAAGGAAGGGAAACTGAGCATTAATGGTGATGTCATAAAGGAAGGGAAACTGAGAATTAATGGTGATGTCATAAAGGAAGGGAAACAGAGCATTAATGGTGATGTCATAAAGGAAGGGAAACAGAGCATTAATGGTGACGTCATAAAGGAAGGGAAACGGAGAATTAATGGTGATGTCATAAAGGAAGGGAAACTGAGCATTAAAGGTGACGTCATAAAGGAAGGGAAACTGAGCATTAATGGTGATGTCATAAAGGAAGGGAAACAGAGAATTAATGTTGATGTCATAAAGGAAGGGAAACTGAGAATTAAAGGTGACGTCATAAAGGAAGGGAAACTGAGCATTAAAGGTGACATCATAAAGGAAGGGAAACTGAGCATTAATGGTGACATCATAAAGGAAGGGAAACTGAGAATTAATGGTGACGTCATAAAGGAAGGGAAACTGAGCATTAATGGTGACGGCATAAAGGAAGGGAAACTGAGCATTAATGGTGATGTCATAAAGGAAGGGAAACTGAGCATTAAAGGTGACGTCATAAAGGAAGGGAAACTGAGCATTAATGGTGATGTCATAAAGGAAGGGAAACAGAGCATTAATGGTGATGTCATAAAGGAAGGGAAACTGAGCATTAAAGGTGATGTCATAAAGGAAGGGAAACTGAGCATTAAAGGTGACATCATAAAGGAAGGGAAACTGAGCATTAATGGTGACATCATAAAGGAAGGGAAACTGAGCATTAATGGTGATGTCATAAAGGAAGGGAAACTGAGCATTAATGGTGACGTCATAAAGGAAGGGAAACTGAGAATTAATGGTGATGTCATAAAGGAAGGGAAACTGAGCATTAAAGGTGATGTCATAAAGGAAGGAAAACTGAGCATTAAAGGTGACGTCATAAAGGAAGGGAAACAGAGCATTAATAGAGATATTGTAGGCTATGTGTTCTTATTGGGGAGGACTACCTAGCATCACCGAGGGCAGCTTGAGGAGGGAACCGGGCAAGGCCTTGAAGGCTACAATTTCTCAGGTATTTCAAGCAGCGTTGGTATTGGCTTTTCATCTGGAAAACCCACGCATGTGTGTATGAGTGCGTGGTGGTGGGTGGGTGTGTACTTTGCATGCTTATTCATCATATGGCAGAGATAAGTGTATGGGTGAGTCTGAGCATGTCCTGGTAGAATGGCTTACTGGCGTGTGGAATGCAGTCAGAGTACTACTGAACCCAAACAGCAGGAATTTCCTCATACAGTTTCTTGCCATTACAGTACTTAACTATGTGGTGTAGTCATAGTCAACAAAGAGAGCCTGATATTATAAGACTGAGTTGTTAGACTCATTTTCTTCTTCTAGGTCCTTGACCCCTACCCTCTGACCCCTACCCCATCTTGGAACAGGAAACAATTGCTCTCACTAAATGTTTTTGTTTTGTCTTTTCAGGACACTGATAGCTCATACCAAATCTCTGGATGTCACTCGACCTGTCACCTTTATCACAGCCAGTAACTTTGCCAGGGACAAGGGGGTGAGACTTCACTGTGTTTCTCTGTTATGATTATAAAGGATTCTTCACAGAACTATGGCTCTCTCAATTTGCTTGTCCTCGATTACTCGCATCCTCCTTCTCGAAACATATTGAAAGACGAGGTCAGAGGGCGAATTTTGGACCTCTTCCAATGTGTTTTGAGAAGAGAGGATCTGAAGAATCGAGGAAAACTGAAAAAGAGCCTTAAGTCTCCCTATTTGACTGTGCTTGTTGCCTAAATATATAGCTATTTTGAAGGCATACCTATGCCCTGATTCAATCATCCTGGCTTACTGAGGTCTGACCCAGGAGGTCTGACTCTGCAGCCACAGCGACTCCCTGCTGCAGATAACTCTGTAAGAGGAATGTCTTACTGAATGTCTTACCAGACGGTAGTTTATCAGTGGTGTCAGTGACTAAGCTAAGCACGTCAGTTATGACGGTAACATTCCATTCATTACAATGGCAATTCAATGCCAATGAAGATGTTTACCGTAACAAGTTGCCCAACACTGTACCAGTGGTTCTATTTCTTCCTCTTCTCCCATTGGAACACGTTTACACCTAGGCTCCACCAGTTATCACCGTAACGTTCCATACATCACAACGGGAATTCAATGCCAATGAAATGTTGATCGCCGTGACACCGTTAACCATGTATTTCTGCTCTTCTCGCCCCCAGGCTCCCTATGTGGATGTCATCTGTGTGAACAGTTACTTCTCCTGGTACAGCGACCCAGGTCACCTGGAGGTCATCCCCTTGCAGCTCAACACCCAGTTTGAGAACTGGTACGGGAAGTACCAGAAACCCATCATCCAGAGTGAATATGGAGCCGACGTGGTCCCAGGGATACACACGGTGAGTATTCCGGAACTTTCTTCGTTGTTCTACGTCACGTGTCATGTCCTCACAGGACAGAAAACAGACAGAAGAACGTAAGGTATTGTCTAAAGCAAACAGGCATATATATATATTTACTGAGATTTCAAGGTCTCTCTTTGAGGCGAACAATGGTCTGGATACCAGTTTGTCAAATGTGCTTGAACAAAGACCTCTGTCAAGCACCTATAATATATAATAATAATAATATAATATGCCATTTAGCAGACGCTTTTATCCAAAGCGACTTACAGTCATGCGTGCATACATTTTTTTTGTGTATGGGTGGTCCCGGGGATCGAACCCACTACCTTGGCGTTACAAGCGCCGTGCTCTACCAGCTGAGCTACAGAGGGGTAGAACACTGGTTGAAACCTATGAATTGAAAGTTTTTAAGTGGTTGAGCTTGAATGATCAGCAGAAATAAAAGTTGGAATGAAAAGCCACATTGTTGTCTTTTTACAGGATCCTCCCATGATGTTCACCGAGGAATACCAGAAGATAGTGTTACAGAACTACCATGGTGTGTTTGACCGGAAGAGGAAGGAGTATCTCATCGGAGAGCTCATCTGGAACTTCGCTGACTTCATGACAGCACAGAGTAAGGAGGAATTAATAAATAACTGGAATAGATTGAATGTGTCGTCACACCAACCATTCTTGTCAAACCTACCATTGAAGCTGGTTGTCATACCATTGCCTGTTTAGTTCAGCTAATATTTGTCTTTACTCAGGGCTCCATTCAATCCGTATCGCAGAACTTCAGCGCTGTAGCGCGATTTAAATTGAAAGGCAATGTTCCAGCGTTGGCATTTGCATTTTACATTTTACTCATTTAGCAGACGCTCTTATCCAGAGCGACTTACAGTTAGTGAGTGCATACATTTTTCATACTGGCCCCCCCGTTGGAAATGAACCCACAACCCTGGCGTTGCAAAGCGCCATGCTCTACCAACTGAGCTACAGGGTGAATTCACGGTCAACTCTGCATACAGTATTTTCGGCTCAACCGGAAATTACCTTTACATTTCAATCGCATTATAGCGATGAACTTCCGCCATACCGATTTTGAATGGAGCCCTGAGTAAAGACAAAGATTAGCTGAACTAAACAGGCAATGGTATGACAACCAGCTTCAATGGTAGGTTTGACAACAATGGTTGGTATGACGACACTTTCAACCTATTCCAGTCCTACAGGTTATTTATTTCCCTGAGTAAGGAAGAGTTAGTAGTGTGATGGTGGGGGCAGTAGAAGTTGAAACCAGGCCAGTGATTTGAAAACGGTGCTGATATTTATGTGAATTGTATTTAAAGCTCCCAGTGTTTGGTAAGCTCCGAGTCAGCAGGAGTCGGTGTGGCACACCAGGACGGTTTACACCAGGGATCATCAACTGGATTCAGGCGCGGGACGATTCTTTCTTGAGCGGATGGTCAGGCGGCCGGAACATAATTTAAATATAATTTGTAGACTGCAAATTGACAGATAAAAATATAATAATTTCAAACCTTGCTTACTTTTGTATACGATCACATACGGTACCAGTCAAAAGTTTGGACACACCTACTCATTCAAGGGTTTTTCTTTATTTTTACTGATTTCTACATTGTAGAATAATAGTGAAGACATCAAAACTATGAAATAACACATATGGAATCATGTAGTAACTAAAAAAGTGTTAAACAAATCAAAATATATGTTATATTTGAGATTCTTCAAAGTAGCCACCCTTTGCCTTGATGACAGCTTTGCACACTCTTGGCATTCTCTCAACCAGCTTCACCTGGAATGCTTTTCCAACAGTCTTGAAGGAGTTCTCACATATGCTGAGCACTTGTTGGCTGCCTTTCCTTCACTCTGTCGTCCGACTCATCCCAAACCATCTGAGGTCGGGGGATTGCGGAGGCCAGGTCATCTGATGCAGCACTCCATCACTCTCCTTCTTGGTCAAATAGCCCTTACACAGCCTGGAGGTGTGTTGGGTCATTGTCCTGTTGAAAAACAAATGATAGTCCCACTGTTGAGATGTGTCTGTTACTTCAACTCTGTGAAGCATTTACTTGGGCTGCAATTTCTGAGGATGGTAACTCTAATTAACTTATCCTCTGCAGCAGAGGTAACTCTGGGTCTTCCATTCCCGTGACGGTCCTCATGAGAGCCAGTTTCATCATAGCGCTTGATGGTTTTTGCGACTGCACTTGAAGAAACTTTAAAAGTTCTTGAAATGTTCCGTATTGACTGACCTTCATGTCTTAAAGTAATGATGGACTGTCGTTTCTCTTTGATTATTTGAGCTGTTCTTGCCATAATATGGACTTGGTCTTTTACCAAATAGGGCTGTCTTCTGTATACCACCCCTACCTTGTCACAACACAACTGATTGGCTCAAACACATTAAGAAGGAAAGAAATTCCACAAATTAACTTTTAAGAAAGCACACCTGTTAGTTTAAATGCATTCTTAGTGAAGCTGGTTGAGAGAATGCCAAAAGTGTGCAAAGCTGTCATCAACGCAAAGGGTGGCTATTTGAAGAATCACAAATATAAAATATATTTTGATTTGTTTAACACTGTTTTGGTTACTACATGATTCCATATGTGTTATTTCATAGTTTTGATGTCTTCACTATTATTTTACAATGAAGTAAATAGTAAAAAATAAAGAAAAACCATTGATTAACTAGGTGTGTCCAAACTTTTGACTGGTACTGTATATCTCTCTATCATGCGTGGGAATACTTTGGAACATATTTCCTAAATTAAAATCACTTGGAGCTGATTTGCTGGTGTTTTTACTTGGGCCGGGACGATACCAGTATCGCAATACTCGTTAGTATCGTGGCAAGGAAACAAAACACGAAATAAAACACGAAGCCGATTTAACTTCTTTAGGAAAACAGCACTAATGTTGGAAGCAAACATTATGTTGTCATCCAGAGTCACATGTATTTATTTTCCAAGCTACACAAGATCAAAGACTGTGGTTTGCTTCGTGTTTTCATTTTTGCCACGGAAAAAAACATTGCGATACTGGTATCGTCCTGGCCCTAGTTTTTAGTATTTTTTGTAAAAAAAAAATAATTACATATTCCAAATGCTTCATAAGTAAATTGTTAATTTCAAGCAATTTTGACATGCCAAAAGACCAATAGGTCTATGCTAGTAATTGTTGCTTGATGCCCCATTGCTGGTGAGCTTGCAAAGTAAACAGTTCATATTCTTGATCACCAAACTATTTTTGGAGCCGCATATTCATTTATGGAAATCCTCTCTCCCTACCATGTGATGTTTATGCAGCACCCGAGCCAATCACTATACAGCAAATCAACAATCTGTTGGCTTTCAAACTTTTTGACCTGCGACCCCCAAAAAGCAGTGGTTCAAAGCTTTCGACGTAAATGTAGCCCGTCATTACAGCCATAAACGGCAATGCATTTTCAAAACTTTAAGATACAGAAATAAACTGTGTTTTACACCTGCATTTTTTTGTTGTTGCTGAAAGTCATTCATGTTAGCAGCCAATAATCACTTCTCTGGTGTCCAGAGCAAGCAGAATCACACGGCCTGCATCTATGCAGTGGAGGTTGCCGGATCAGATGGAAAGCATGTTCTGTCTGCGCCGCGCATGATCACTTTGGACAGCCTGGTCTCATAGACTGGATGTAACAATACAGGACACTCAAATTAGTATGATATGTTATGTTTGGTATGGTCAGTGGTCTAAAGTACTTACGTAAAAATACTTTAAAGTACTACTTACATTCCTAAAGAAAATAATGTACTTTTTACTCCATACATTTTCCCTGACACCCAAAAGTACTCGTTACATTATATATGAATGCTTACCAGGACTGGAAAATGTCAAATTCACACTTATCAAGAGAACATCCCTGGTCATCCCTACTGCCTCTGATCTGGCGGACTCACTTAACACAAATGCTTCGTTTGTAAATTATGTCTGAGTGTTGGAGTGTGCCCCTGGCTGTCCATGAATAAATAAAAAAAACTAGAAAACTGTGCCGTCTGGTTTGAATACTTTCTGAAGGCACTGTGTACTCGAGTCACGTGCCTCGAGTGAGTCTACACCTCTGGAATTTGGTGGTGTTGAATTTGTTGATAGTTCCCCTGTTTGCTTGTCTTCTGTAACAGAGTAATGTACAGATCTATAGGGCTGAAACATTTTGTTTAGGAAATTAACCTTTTCCTTCTCTCTCTGCAGCGGTGACCCGCGTGGTGGGCAACAAGAAGGGAATCTTCAGCCGGCAGAGGCAGCCCAAAGCTGGGGCCTTCCTCCTGAGGGAGAGGTACTGGAGGCTGGCCAATGAGACGGGCTTGCTGCCCACCTGGGCCAGGTACCCCTGCTACCTGGCCACATACCCCTGACATACCTGGGTCGTATTCAGTAGCGCAAAACCCTGCACATTGTAACAAAACATTTCAAAACGTTTTGCAACCGAAAAACAAAAACAAGCATTTCTTATTGGACGAGTCCAGGTTGTCCTTCTCTGTTTTGTTCCGTTTGGTGCCTAATTAACACACCCTTGTATGGAGCTACTCCGACTCAGAACATGACAACTAGAACGCTACGAACACCACAGCACATAATTACCAGAACCAACGTCTGCGTTTACACAGGCAGCCCAATTTTGATATTCCTTTCACTAATTTGGTTGGTTGTTTGACCAATCAGATCAGCAGCTCTGATAAAAGATCTGATTAGTGGAAGAATGATCAGAATTGGTGTGCCTGTGTAAACACAGCCATTGGGTGCGGTCCTCTGCTCAGGCGTTGCTGATGCCTGGTAGATCTCACAACGCCACATATGTTATAGCAATCTGTCAGTCAGTTTGATTTGAATATGCTGAGCCATAGGGCAACGGTCTATGGCCCATGACGTGAACGGTGAAAAGCAGTGAGAGAGAACAGTAATCTACGCTGCTCGGTCATGTTGTCAACAAGGCAGCATGGTGCATTGCCCAGAAACACGCATCTCTTTTCCATAAAATATATGATTGAATTTTCAAACTAGTTTTCATTGGGAAGGCAGATAAAGCGTTTTTATCCAAAGCAATCACTTTTGCATGTGAAAACACAGAATCCTTCTCATTACTCCACGTGCTTAATTAGGTCACTTTTGTTTTGAGCCGACTTCGCCTGGGCTTTGAGCCGACTTCGCCTGGGCTTTGAACAGGGCACCCGAATGCAATCAATTTTCACCCGGTGCAAAACACACCTACCCGGGACAGATTAATCTAATCCCCTCATTGAGACAGTCGATGACTTGGCGCACAACCATTGGTTGACGCATGCAATGTCTGTCTTTCCTCTTAATTCAGGGATCAACCAGTTTCATACATGAATGTGAATCATCATGCTGTTCCGTGTCAGTGTAAATAAATGGCTGTATGAAAGAAAGATCATGTATTTTTTTTAACTGTCTCATTTGTTTTAGGGCTCTATTCAGTCTGGATGGCTGAAGCGGTACAGATTGCGTGATAGAAATTTAAAGGTAATTTCCGATTGAGCCGACATATAGTTCATTCGGAAAAAATTCAGACCGTTGACTTTTTCCACATTTTGTTATGTTACAGCCTTATTCAAAAATGGATTAAATCGTTTCCCCCCCCCCCCCCCCCCATCAATCTACATACAATACCCCATAATGACAAAGCAAAAACCGGTTTTTTTAGAAACCTTTGTTGAGGCACCTTTGGCAGCGATTACAGCCTCGAGTCTTCTTGGGTATGACGCTACAAGCTTGGCAGACCTGTATTTGGGGAGTTTCTCCCATTTCTTCTCTGCAGATCCTCTCAAGCTCTGTCAGGTTGGATGGGGAGCGTCGCTGCACAGCTATTTTCAGGTCTCTCCAGAGATGTTCGATCGGGTTCAAGTCCGGGCTCTGGCTGGGCCACTCAAGGACATTCAGAGACTTGTCCCGAAGCCAATCCTGCGTTGTCATGGCTGTGTGCTTAGGGTCGTTGTCCTGTTGGAAGGTGAACCTTTACCCCAGTCTGAGCTCCTGAGTGCTCTGGAGCAGGTTTTCATCATGGATCTCTCTGTACTTTGCTCCGTTCATCTTTCCCTTGATCCTGACTAGTCTCCCTGTCCCTGCCACTGAAAAACATCCCCACAGCATGATGCTGCCACCACCATGCTTCACCATAGCGATGGTGCCAGGTTTTCTCCAGACTTGACGCTTGGCATTCAGGCCAAAGAGTTCAATCTTTGTTTAATCAGACCAGAGAATCTTGTTTCTCATGGTCAGAGAGTCCTTTAGGTGCCTTTTGGCAAACTCCAAGCGGGCTGTGATGTGCCTTTTACTGAGTAGTAGCTTCCGTCTGGCCACTCTATCATAAAGGCCTGATTGGTGGAGTGCTGCAGAGATGGTTGTCCTTCTGGAAGGTTCTCCCATCTCCACAGAGGAACTCTGGAGCTCTGTCAGAGTGACCATCAGGTTCTTGGTCACCTCCCTGACCAAGGCCCTTCTCCCCCAATTGCTCAGTTTGGCCGGGCAGCCAACTCTAGGAAGTCTTGGTGGTTCCAAACTTTTTCCATTTAAGAATGATGGAGGCCACTGTGTTCTTTGGGACCTTCAATGCTGCAGACATTTTTTGGTACCCTTCGCCCGATCTGTGCCTCGACACAATCCTGTCTCAGATCTCATGGCTTGTTTTTTGCTCTGACATGCACTGTCAACTGTGGGACCTTATATAGACAGGTGTGTGCCTTTCCAAATCATGTCCAATCAGATGAATTTACCACAGGTAAAGTTGTAGAAACATCTCAAGGATGATCAATGGAAACAGGATGCACCTGAGCTTAATTTCGAGTCTCATAGCAAAGGGTCTGAATACTTATGTGAATAAGGTATTTCGTTTTTTAAATTTTTGTGTAAATTAGCAAAAATTTCTAAAAACCTGTTTTCACTTTGGTATTATGGGGTATTGTGTGTAGATTGAGGAACATTATTTAATCAATTTTAAAATAAGGCTGTAACTTAACAACATTTGGAAAAAGTCAAGGGGTCTAAATACTTTCCGAATGCAGTGTATGCAGCGTTTACCGTGAATGCAGTCTCCGCTAACATTGCCTTTACATTTCAATAAGGCTGTAACGCTAAACCTAGGGATTGAATACTTGCTGGTTCAACTTAAAGGCTTCAAATACATTGGAGGAAAAAAGTATTTAGTCAGCCACCAATTGTGCAAGTTCTCCCACTTAAAAAGATGAGAGAGGCCTGTAATTTTCATCATAGGTACACGTCAACTATGACAGACAAATTGAAGAAAAAAAATCCAGAAAATCACATTGTAGGATTTTTTATAAATTTATTTGCAAATTATGGTGGAAAATAAGTATTTGGTCACCTACAAACAAGCAAGATTTCTGGCTGTCACAGAACTGTAACTTCTTCTTTAAGAGGCTCCTCTGTCCTCCACTCGTTACCTGTATTAATGGCACCTGTTTGAACTTGTTATCAGTATAAAAGACACCTGTCCACAACCTCAAACAGTCACACTCCAAACTCCACTATGGCCAAGACCAAAGAGCTGTCAAAGGACACCAGAAACAAAATTGTAGACCTGCACCAGGCTGGGAAGACTGAATCTGCAATAGGTAAGCAGCTTGGTTTGAAGAAATCAACTGTGGGAGCAATTATTAGGAAATGGAAGACATACAAGACCACTGATAATCTCCCTCGATCTGGGGCTCCACGCAAGATCTCACCCCGTGGGGTCAAAATGATCACAAGAACGGTGAGCAAAAATCCCAGAACCACATGGGGGGACCTAGTGAATGACCTGCAGAGAGCTGGGACCAAAGTAACAAAGCCTACCATCAGTAACACACTACGCCGCCAGGGACTCAAATCCTGCAGTGCCAGACGTGTCCCCCTGCTTAAGCCAGTACATGTCCCGTCTGAAGTTTGCTAGAGTGCATTTGGATGATCCAGAAGAGGATTGGGAGAATGTCAGATGAAACCAAAATAGAACTTTTTGGTAAAAACTCAACTCGTCGTGTTTGGAGGACAAAGAATGCTGAGTTGCATCCAAAGAACACCATACCTACTGTGAAGCATGGGGGTGGAAAAATCATGCTTTGGGGCTGTTTTTCTGCAAAGGGACTAGGACGACTGATCCGTGTAAAGGAAAGAATGAATGGGGCCATGTATCGTGAGATTTTGAGTGAAAACCTCCTTCCATCAGCAAGGGCATTGAAGATGAAACGTGGCTGGGTCTTTCAGCATGACAATGATCCCAAACACACCGCCCGGGCAACGAAGGAGTGGCTTCGTAAGAAGCATTTCAAGGTCCTGGAGTGGCCTAGCCAGTCTCAAGATCTCAACCCCATAGAAAATCTTTGGAGGGAGTTGAAAGTCTGTGTTGCCCAGCGACAGCCCCAAAACATCACTGCTCTAGAGGAGATCTGCATGGAGGAATGGGCCAAAATACCAGCAACAGTGTGTGAAAACCTTGTGAAGACTTACAGAAAACGTTTGACCTGTGTCATTGCCAACAAAGGGTATATAACAAAGTATTGAGAAACTTTTGTTATTGACCAAATACTTATTTTCCACCATAATTTGCAAATAAATTCATAAAAAATCCTACATTGTGATTTTCTGGAATTCTTTTTCTCAATTTGTCTGTCATAGTTGACGTGTACCTATGATGAAAATTACAGGCCTCTCATCTTTTTAAGTGGGAGAACTTGCACAATTGGTGGCTGATTTAAAAAAAAAAAAATCCCCCACTGTATTTATAACCTTGATTTTATATATAAACTAAGAAACATATACTGTGCTCTGACTTGACAATCTATGCACTTTCGTCAAATTAAATGGCCTAATTCTCATCATCAGCATCAGTATTATTGGTGGTTTTGGGGTGGTTATGGAGTTTCGCATGCCAGATATTGGGCGCTACCTTGTCAACAATCAGTCTTTGTTTTCGGAACATTCCAATCATCCCTAACATTCTGCCTGAGGCCTGTACTACGAATCAGGGTTGAGGACGTCTGCTAAATGACTCAAACGTAACCAATAACCATTTTGATTTTGGCACTGACTTGTCAATGGTTTGATGTTTCAGCATTGTGAAGTTAGGTGTTCGACAAGCCCATGTGCGACATGCATGCGCAGTTACAAGCCTGCTTGAGTTAGCGGTAGGCGAACGAGCAATATCCACCGTTTTAGTACGGATGAAGCCTAGCTTGCTTCGTAGGATACCCCTCAGGTGTAATTTAGTTCCTTACGTCCTAGGTAATGAACTGTAGAAATTCTTCAATATAGCCTTGGGTAGTCCACATTAAAGCATAAAACCATCCTTACCAGTCGATCCTTTCCCTTTTTCTACTGTAAAACCTTGACGTTACCATCCCAGTGCTTTGCGGCATCTATAACCCCCCTAACATTGACCGGTTTCTACAAAGCCTGAATATATGGCGTTGAATACTACAGGAAATTGTTTGTATTATCGATCAAATGCATTTAAAAGAGATCCTCTCAAAGTGTTAGTTATTTTTAACACCAAACAATGTTACATTTTGAGTGACAGCCTTAACATTGATTTTGTTCTGGTTGCCAAGATTACATTTTGTGTTTTTGGTTACATATTTTGTGAAATATTAATTCAAGAGTGAGATGTTACAAGAAGAGGCACAGCAAAGTCACTTCAGATGGAATGTTTTAATGGTAGACCATTTCCACACGACAATGACACAATTTAAAATGTTCACTGTAGTGTCAACTTTCGCAACAGTTTCTCACAAGTTAATCAAATAGTCGATTTCATCCGATCGTTTCTCTGTACCCATCCAATCTACCATTCATGTAACACTTTTTTCCCCATGTAAGAAAATACAGCATTTGTCCAACTTATTATTTGGCAAATGCAGAAGCAAACCTACAGTATTCCTCCCACAAACAAACTTGATTGAAAATAAATTTGACGCTGACACATGGATTCCTAGACCTCCAATATTGTTCTACTAATATAACCCAGAATGTTGTCTATACAGCTAAAATGTGTCGTTACCAATGGAGTCCATTCACACAAAGTCACAGAGAAAGAAATACGAACTTTACAATCTTGTAGTTCTGACAAATGTATTTTATAGCAGAAACACGTGTCTTCTTACTCTAATAACATAAATTAAAGATTAACATTTAGTGAAAATAAAGTTGACTAAATAAAAGAAACATTAATAACTGTTTAAATACAAGACAGGGCTTTTTGGTGAGTAATTTCTACCCCACGTAGTTTATAGGGTAGCCTGGGATGGATTCATTACAGAAACCGTTTACCGTTTAAGAACCAAACAGAGCAAATGGAAAGACACGTGGAGAGATCTATCTGGATTTGTCCAATAGAAACTCGTTTGCGCTTTCCGTTTGGCGTAAACAGTTTGATAAAACATTTTGCAAAGGAATCAGCGTAATGATTACACCCCTGGTCTCTGATCTGTTAGTGCTTTTACCAACTCCATTGCCAAGCCATGACATTTCCATAAGGAGTTGGCAAGACAGCATTAACAGACTGGCACCCAGGATATCTACAGAATGCTGTGGATATTGACAAGTGGGTTGGTGGTGGGGTCCAATGATCAGAAATACATATTTAGGAAGGCAAGCAGGAGAGCCAATCACTGTCAGCGTTCGTCACTTCCACAAGGCTTTATTTTACGGTCTCTCTTTAACCGCTCAAGGCCCCGTGATCCAACAGAAGGCACTTTTGATGGCATTTGTTGATGCAGTGAACACGACTGTCATGGTTCTAAATCTTGGGACATTTTAGAATGTATTCAACACTTTATGAACAGGACTCGTGGATTAAAGATTAGGCGAGGGTTTATTATACATTTAGCTGTATTTTTGTTGATTTGATTAATACGTGTACAAAATCATACATGAAATGTGTTGACTCGTCGTTCAACAGGTTAGCAATAGGAACACATTCAACAAGATTATTTTTTTTAGGGACTTTGACTTGTGTGACTCAATAAGCCAAACACTCTCCACCCACCTCTCTGGAACAGAGTAACTGTGGGACTATTATTACGTCTATTTAAAGTTGGTTGCACCGACTTTAGGACCTATACGATGGCTGCCAACATGGACTCCGTGAGTAACCCCTAGGGAAGTCTTTAGTGTACAACCAGATCACTGTAAATCAACCTCTGGGAGTGGCGCTTTAGACCTGATCGGCATCATCGTGCACAAAATGGCATCTCGTCCCAAATACCTCAGTGAGCGTATCGCTGCTAAAATTCTGATGCAACAGGGCAATACAGTAATTTTTTTTGTGTGTGTCGAAAACCTTGTTCAGCGCTAGTGAGTGAGTTACAATGCAGACAATATGTAACCAATAAGTACCTCATATTCCATCATGCAAAACCCACCATTCACAACTGATGGCCTGGCGTGCTTTAAACATTCAGGAAGCAGTCATTTGCATCATCATCAACCACCACCATCTTCGTTTAGACCTCTGCCATTATGAAACAAGTGCCCCTTTTCTATTTGAAATTTGCATTCCATGACGATAGACACATAGGGACATGAGACGCTGACCATCTTGTACAAAGGACACCGTATCATAAAACCAACCGGTGTAAAAAAAAAAAAAAATGTGCCAATACGTGGTGTAGCTGTCTGTGTTTGAGTGCCCATCTAAAACAGTAACAATGAGATTGTTCAATGTGAGCCAGGGGATGTTCCACTAACCATGAACCTGGATAGTAACTTCACCAACAAACTTCGGGTTTGAATGGCTTTAAGCTGATCTATCGGCCACTCTGCTTCCCTTGACGCTGGACGACCCAACGGGCTTGGGTTGTTTCACACACCTTGGGCAATACTGAGAGGTAGTGGTAAGGACACCAAGTACTGTGTGGTTTCCTTCCCCAACGTGTAGGTACAGACAGTGCTGTTGTAACACTAAAGAGAGAGACTGAACCTTATTACTCAAATCGACAACCGTAACCTGCAAAAATGCCTAAGAGTTTTCCTTAACGGAATGGCCTACTACTACTACTAATGCCACCGTTGAGCTGACAATCACAGTTAGTTTCGCAGCCTGTGCTACCGTATCATTACACTATACACGAGAGGGGTGAGGGCATTTTAAGTACACACTTTAGTTTGTAAAAATGGTGAGACAATGAGGGGGGGGGGGGGGGGAGTGGTGAAATATTTACATATACCCCTGCACCCAATAAAGGGAATTCCCGTCTCATTTACATACACCCCTCCACCCAACCAAATAAAGGGAATTCTCTTTCAGGCACATAAGTCTTCATGGATCCCGCTGGTCCAGTAGCATGTCAGGAACGCTTTTCACACATAATGAAGACGACAGGGAAGTGCATTGTAGAGGAAGACGTCATCTTGGCAGAGAAGAAATTAACTAGGGTCATGTTCATTAGGCACCAGAGACCGAAGAAAACCGACTGAAACGGGGAACTCCCCGGACAATAGAAGGGTTGGTTGTTTAGCGTCAAAACTGCGCAACTATGGGTCAAAACAGACGGGGGTTGGCTTAGATTGTTGACACAATCTATATTTCGTCGCCAATGTTTATTGAAAACATAAATATATTTGCACAATGAGCACTTGACTCAAGTACATTGTTACAGTTATTGGTTAGTTAGCTAGCAAATTTTAGCATAGATGTGACATCAGTCAAAACACCTCAAAACAAGACTATGCTATCAAGAACAAGATAAAACTAACTGAAACGAGCCACCTACGATTCCCCACATGGCAGCTGCATGTCATTGTTGCTAACCATCTGCCCATCCCAGACTCACAACACGGTCTTCTGGCCCAATGACGCGCGCGCATTGTTTTCGTGACATTGTCAGCTAACCAGCCTATAAGAAACCCTCATTTTCATTTCCCAGTGCAAAACGTTATTTTTCACATTTACATCATTCAGCAGACGCTCTTATCCAGAGCGACTTACAAATGAAAACGTTGCGTTGCCTAATGAACACAACCCTGCTCTGAAGACTGAGGAAGGACATATCATATGCTTTGTGACCTCAGTGAGTTAAAGACTTCTGAGAAAGAGATTAAAGAAAGTGATCAGTGAGCACATGAATCAACGCAACTCTGTGCAGCATGCATCGCTTGGGGTTACAGGAAATTAAGATGTGCCACACTGACTGCAAAACATCTTCAGACTGACTTAATTCACCTAGATGACGACTTGACTTCAGTCACTTCTTTGTTCCTCATTTTGTGATTTCTTTCTAACATGTTAATATATATTTTTTTAACTTAAAGTCTATGTCAACCACAATCTAACCTGGAATATTGCTCAGCAGCTATTTACAGAATAAAAAAAAAAGACAAAAAGAAACAACTGTCTGATTTACACAGTTTCTCACATTCGCCCGTGTTTAATATTAGTGGTCCTATCAAAAGACAAAACAAACTTGCTGTAAAGTGTAAACGTAAAAAAAAAAAAAAAAAAAAAACACGATTCTGTATGGTGTTGAGTTTTAACCGTTTCGCTCTCCTCATGGAATCCTAGCTATGCTGCCAACTGTACGATTATAATCCCCACGATCATGCATTTTGTATTCTGACCCATTATTCAGTTCCGCTCAGGTCGTAGTAACGTTGCAGCTAGCCTCCGGAGCCGGTCCAGGTGTGCAGGAACAGGTCGTTCCTATCTATTTCAAGTATAGGCCTTTTAAAAAAAGTCCCAGTTTTCTTCCATGTTCTGGTCCTTTTTGTTCAAGAGGGGTGTCCCGTCCTCTCATCGTTCACAGTGAAGACTGGATATTCTGCCTTTGCGTTCCTGCTTGCTTATTATGTGTAAGGGGAGCATAAATAAAAACACAAATAAAAAAAATTGAAGAGATTTTTTTCCCCCGTTTTAAAATCCTTCCATCATTTCTGCAACAATGAACTTGAGATGTCTCGCCCGGACATGTTTTAGTTTTTTTGGTCGTCTTCTTGTTTTTTTTTTAAACATTTTTTTTAATAACACACAGCAGAATAAACATTGTTTTGGAAGCAAGGTCTCCTGGTGGCAAGTCAAAATGTTCTGTTCAAGAGGTCACATTACTATTTTTTTTGTTGTTATATTTTCCACGTACTGTATTTTCCACCCCCATTTTAGTCCTGTTTGACCGGAAGCTGCTGCTTCCAGGCCTCGTTCAAGTAAACCAGTCGCTTGTAGTTGAGCATAAAGAGAATGAAGTTCAGTGCATATGTGGTGATACAGATGACGCAGAAGTCCTTGAGGACAAAGTAGAGGATGTAGCCCAGGTAGAGAGAGCCCATCACCGATAGGATGGACGTTGTCATGAGGATCAGGGCAGCCATCGCACTCACGGTGATTCCTGTAACCAACCAGAGGAGAGAGAGAGCAGGGGCTTAGGCTACTGACATGACGTGTACAAATAAGCAAGTAAGGTATGCCGAGCGAGGCTAGCAGTGAAGAAATATAAATCACTTTGACAAACACTACTACGTTGAAAAAGACCAAAGCAAGAGTATTGGATAAAATGGTGGTCATAAAATGCCTGGACCTTGTAATAATCAGGGAGGAATAAGTTCCGCGCCCTCCTCAGGTGACCTTGTAATAATCAGGGAGGAATAAGTTCCGCGCCCTCCTCAGGTGACCTTGTAATAATCAGGGAGGAATAAGTTCCGCGCCCTCCTCAGGTGACCTTGTAATAATCAGGGGAGGAATAAGTTCCGCGCCCTCCTCAGGTGACCTTGTAATAATCAGGGGAGGAATAAGTTCCGCGCCCTCCTCAGGTGACCTTGTAATAATCAGGGAGGAATAAGTTCCGCGCCCTCCTCAGGTGACCTTGTAATAATCAGGGAGGAATAAGTTCTGCGCCCTCCTCAGGTGACCTTGTAATAATCAGGGAGGAATAAGTTCCGCGCCCTCCTCAGGTGACCTTGTAATAATCAGGGAGGAATAAGTTCCGCGCCCTCCTCAGGTGACCTTGTAATAATCAGGGAGGAATAAGTTCCGCGCCCTCCTCAGGTGACCTTGTAATAATCAGGGAGGAATAAGTTCCGCGCCCTCCTCAGGTGACCTTGTAATAATCAGGGAGATACAAGTTCCGCGCCCTCCTCAGGTGACCTTGTAATAATCAGGGAGGAATAACTTCCGCGCCCTCCTCAGGTGACCTTGTAATAATCAGGGAGGAATAAGTTCCGCGCCCTCCTCAGGTGACCTTGTATGAGAGCCAGTCAGCTTTAAGGCTTGGCACTTAACTGACATATTTACCTATTTGTCATGCTTGACGATCACAAATATAAATACAGAGATTGGACACCTGGCCATCTTTCTGACCTTTAAATCTGAGCCCCCAGCTGTTGAAAGTAACAAGGGTCTCGGAGGGATAAGAGTTTTTCAGATAGACAATGCGTTCCAAATGGCAGCCTACTCCCTATATAGTGCACTACTTTTGATCAGGGCCCATTGGACTCTACTCCCTATATAGTGCACTACTTTTGATCAGGGCCCATTGGACTCTACTCCCTATATAGTGCATTCCTTTTGATCAGGGCCCATTGGACTCTGGTCAAAAGTAGTACACTATAAAGGGAATAGGGTGCCATTTGGGACTCATCCGTCAGGTGACCCATCACCCATTAGTGGTGGCGTCTGTGCTATGCAGCCCATAGGCCCCTCATTGTAAGCTAGCTGTAGTGAGTAACCACTGACCACCACAAATCTCTGGCTGCACCCTTCAGCTGAAGAGATGGACATCTTAAGACCAGACCTGGGTTCAAAATACTATTTGAAAATCTTTCAAATACTTTCATGCGTTTGCTCTAGCCTGCCTGTAGTGCCACATGGGAGGAGTTTGCAGTTTGCGGACTCTTCTATTGGGCGATTAAGCCAGGCAAGCTAAATCAAGCCCAGCAAAATGGCAGCAAATAGTGTTTGAACCCAGATCTGCTTAAGACAATGAACCAGTGAGCTAGATGAATGACAGGACACAGGAACGTCGTTAGAGGAAGGAGGAGGACAGGTGTTCTAGTGTAGAGGACGTTCTAAACAGACACCTTCTGGTTCTGGCTCAGGCTTCTATTCATAGTGCTGAAATTACATTAGAGGTGACAGGGACCAACATAGTTCTCACAAATACTGTACCGTACCATACCGTACCATACCATACTATACCATACTATACTATACTATACCATACTATACTATACCGTACCATACTATACCATACTATACTATACTATACTATACCGTACTATACCGTACCATACTATACCATACTATACTATACTATCCCGTACCATACCATACTATACTGTACCATACCGTACCATACTATACTATACCGTACCGTACTATACCGTACCATACTATACTATACTATACCGTACCATACCACATTATACTGTACCATACTATACCATACCATACCATACCATACTATACCATACTATACTATACCATACTATACTATACCATACCGTACCGTACTATACCATACCGTACCATACCATAACGTACCATACTATACCATACCGTACCGTACCATACTATACCATACCGTACCATACTATACCATACCGTACTATACCATACCGTACCATACTATACTATACCGTACCATACTATACCATACCGTACCGTACCATACTATACCATACCGTACCATACTATACCATACCGTACCATACCATACTATACCGTACCGTACCATACCATACTATACTATACCATACCGTACCATACTATACCATACCGTACCGTACCATACTATACCATACTGTACCATACTATACCATACTATACCGTACCATACTATACCGTACCATACTATACCGTACCATACTATACCGTACCATACTATACCGTACTATACCATACTATACCATACTGTACTATACCGTACCGTACCATACTATACCGTACCATACTATACCATACCATACCATACCATACCATACTATACCATACCATACCATACCATACTATACTATACCATACCATACCATACTATACCATACCATACCGTACCATACTATACCATACCGTACCATACTATACCATACCGTACCGTACCATACTATACCGTACCATACTATACCATACTATACCATACTGTACCATACCATACTGTACCATACTATACTGTACCATACCATACTGTACCATACCATACTGTACCATACTATACTGTACCATACCATACTGTACCAAACTATACCATACCGTACCATACTATACCATACTATACCGTACCATACTATACCGTACCATACTATACCATACTATACCATACTGTACCATACTGTACCATACCGTACCGTACCATACTATACCGTACCGTACCATACTATACCATACCATACCATACCATACTACTCTGTACCTTCAGGCTCTGATCAGTCCCTACACCCAAACGAGAGTATTGCGCTCATCCACCTCTGGCCTGCTGGCTCCCCTTCCTCTGCGGAAGCATAGTTCCCGCTCAGCCCAGTCAAAACTGTTCGCTGCTCTGGCACCCCAATGGTGGAACAAGCTCCCTCACGACGCCAGGACAGCGGAGTCACTCACCACCTTCCGGAGACATTTGAAACCCCACCTCTTTAAGGAATACCTGGGATAGGATAAAGGAATCCTTCTACCCCCCCCCCCATTGTAAAGTGGTTATCCCACTGGCTATAGGGTGAACGCACCAATTTGTGAGTCGCTCTGGCTAAGAGCGTCTGCTAAATGACGTTAATGTGCCCTTGAGCAAGGCACTTAACCCTAATTGCTCCTGTAAGTCGCTCTGGATAAGAGCGTCTGCTAAATGACTAAAATGTAAAATGTAAATGTAATACTATACCATACCATCTATACTATACTATACCGTACCCCATACCATACTATACCATACCATTACCGTACCATACTATACCATACTGTACCATACCATACGTACCATACTATACCATACTGTACCATACCATACTGTACCATACTATACCATTACTGTACCCATACCATAACCATACCATTACCATACCCATACCATACCATACTTATACTGTACACATACCATAACTGTACCATACCATACTGATACCATACCATACCATTACTGTACCATAACTATTACTTACCATAACTATACTATACTATACCAATGACCATTACAATACTAGTACCATTAACTATTACTGTACCCATACCATATCATTACTCTTTACCCGGTACCATTACTATTACTTGTACTATACTATACCATACTGTACCATACCATACTATACCATACTGTACCATACATATACCAATACCATACTATACTGTACCATACCTACTACCATACACTACTAATACCATACTATACTGTACCATAACCATACTGTACCATACTATACCCATAACCGTACCAATACTATAACTGTACCATACCTACTACCATACTATAAACCATTACCATACCTAGTACCATAACGTACCATACTACAACTACTTACCATACCATACCATACCATACTATACTGTACCATACCATACTATACCATACTATACCATACTATACCATACTGTACCATACTATACCATACTATACCGTACCATATACCATACCATACTATACCATACACCATACTGTACCATACCGTACCATACTATACCATACCATAATCAACCGTACCATACTATACTAACCATACTGTACCATTACCATACTATACATACCATATACCGTACCATACTATACTATACCATACTATACCATACCATACTATACTGTACCATACCATACCATACTATACCATACTGTACCATACTATACCATACCGTACCATACCATACTATACCATACCATACCATACTATACTGTACCACTACTGTACCAACCTACTATACCATACTGTACCCACTACTATACCGTACCATACTAATACCATAACCGTACCATACTATCATACCATACCGTACCATCAACCATACTATACCGTACCATACCATACTATACTATACCATACCGTACCATACTATAACCATACCGTACCATACTATACCTACTGTACCATACTATACCATACTTACCGTACCATACTTAACCGTACCATACTATACCGTACCATACTATACACCATACCATACTATACATACTACCTCACCGATACCAACTATACCATACTGTCCTACTATACCGTACCATAACCATACTATACCGTACCATACTATACCATACCATACCATACCATCATACCATACTATACCATACCATACCTATACCATACCAACCATACTATACCATACCATACCGTACCATACTATACCATACCGTACCATACTATACCATACCGTACCGTACCATACTATACCGTACCATACTATACCATACTATACCATACTGTACCATACCATACTGTACCATACTATACTGTACCATACCATACTGTACCATACCATACTGTACCATACTATACCATACTATACCATACTGTACCATACCATACTGTACCATACTATACTGTACCATACTATACTGTACCAAACTATACCATACCGTACCATACTATACCATACTATACCGTACCATACTATACCGTACCATACTATACCATACTATACCATACTGTACCATACTGTACCATACCGTACCGTACCATACTATACCGTACCGTACCATACTATACCATACCATACCATACCATACTACTCTGTACCTTCAGGCTCTGATCAGTCCCTACACCCAAACGAGAGTATTGCGCTCATCCACCTCTGGCCTGCTGGCTCCCCTTCCTCTGCGGAAGCATAGTTCCCGCTCAGCCCAGTCAAAACTGTTCGCTGCTCTGGCACCCCAATGGTGGAACAAGCTCCCTCACGACGCCAGGACAGCGGAGTCACTCACCACCTTCCGGAGACATTTGAAACCCCACCTCTTTAAGGAATACCTGGGATAGGATAAAGGAATCCTTCTACCCCCCCCCCCATTGTAAAGTGGTTATCCCACTGGCTATAGGGTGAACGCACCAATTTGTGAGTCGCTCTGGCTAAGAGCGTCTGCTAAATGACGTTAATGTGCCCTTGAGCAAGGCACTTAACCCTAATTGCTCCTGTAAGTCGCTCTGGATAAGAGCGTCTGCTAAATGACTAAAATGTAAAATGTAAATGTAATACTATACCATACCATACTATACTATACTATACCGTACCATACCATACTATACCATACCATACCGTACCATACTATACCATACTGTACCATACCATACTGTACCATACTATACCATACTGTACCATACCATACTGTACCATACTATACCATACTGTACCATACCATACCATACCATACCATACCATACTATACTGTA